GAATTCTATATTAATATTATTTTTCAAAATTCTGAGTAAAACCCTATTTTTTTTTCTTTTTTTGATAATTGAATTAACCCTGATTATAATTCTAAACCTATAATATATTTTCAGTAATATGAAAATTAATGGTAAATTATAAAAAATGCCCCTAAACTTTAGACTAAATTATAGAAACCACCCCCATTTATCTATAATTATTATTAAAATTTCTTAATATTTGTTTCCGTCTTACACCGACGATCTCTTTCGGGTGACATTTTTTATGCTATTTTTTTTTTATAATAGTAGAACTAGAAGGTAACAAAACTTGTTCGTGGAAGTAGGAAAAGCCAATCATTAGAAATAATCATACTTATAAATTATAATTAAAATATAACAGAAATCAATATCGTTTTGGCAAAGCAGCAACCTTATCCTCATTAATCAATCAAACAGAGTCCTGATTAGCAAACAGTATTTAATCAATCAATCAAAATAAATGGCCTAATTATACAAAACATTAAATTCTAAAACTGAAATGATTTGTGCAGGCCAAAATTAAACATTCAGGCACATTTTTTACCATTCTTCAAAAAACAAAAAGTAAAAAAACTCAACAACTCTCTCAACCTTTCGATTTTCTTTCGCAAAGCCCGTGCAAGATCGGAGGTAATTTTTACGTTTTTACGATCCTCTTGTTATGTAGATTACGAATCCGGAAAAAAAACGAAAAAAATCGGACTTTGGCCTGCTCGTGTGAATTTACACGAGCGCATCCACTGTGCTCGTGTAAATCCACGCGAGCATGCCTTTTTTATATATATATTTTTTTAATTGCTCGTGTAAAAACACACGAGCGTTTGCAAAGGGCTCGTGTGATTTCACACGAACGCTTTTCAAACGCTCGTGTGTTTTTACACGAGCAGATTAATTTTTTTTTTATTTTTATTATTTTTTTTTTTTTTGAATTATAAGATGCTCGTGCAAAAACATGCGAGCATTTCAACAGTGCTCGTGTGAAATCAGATGAGCACTGTTGAAATGCTCGCATGTTTTAGCACGAGCACAACAATTTAAATTTTTTTTTTATTGGGTAGGAATAGTACAAAAGGTAAATAGTTATGGTAAAAAGGTCAAAAATCATGGTAAAAAAATGCCTGAATGTTTAATTTGGCCTGCGTATATCATACCCATTCTAAAATTATAGGCAGCCATCTGTAATGTAGGCATAAATATCTAAATATATATAAATAAAAAAATAAAAAAATAATAATAAATCAAACTCGCAGCAGCAAAAAGATTCTTGAAGTGGGGTCTTCGTCAAATTGTCGTCTCATTCTTCTCAAAAAGTAGCATAAAATTTCTCACCGCAAACAAAAACAAACAAAATAAATACTGTCCCTTCAACAGTTGAGTGGGGCTTCGCTATATATGTATGTATCATGTATCATGTATGAATGAATGAAAAGAGAACAAAATAAAAAAGGATCCGCCGTCGCAAAAATCCAGGTTTCTTGATCTGGGCTTCCATTTTCTTGAATTCAATGAGTTTCAGGGAAGAAGAAGGAGATGGGAGAGGTGGAGATCTGAGGAAGCCATTTTTGCAGACAGGGAGTTGGTATCGAATGGGTTCCAGACAGTCTAGTATGTTGGGCTCTGCCCAAACTATTAAGGATTCTTCTGTCTCTGTTTTGGCTTGTGTCTTGATCGTTGCTTTGGGTCCTATTCAGTTCGGTTTCACTGTACGTCTCTCTCTCTCTCTCTCTCTCTCTCTCTCTCTCTCTCTCTCTCTCTCTCTCTCTCTCTCTCTCTCTCTCTCTCTCTGTAGTTATCTCTCTAGTCATCTCTCTCTCTCCCTTGAATTTTACTTTGTTGTTACTCTTTAGTCATTTCTTCAATAGCTGTTGTTGATTGGGTGATTTGCTGTAAGAAAAAAAAGAAAGAAACTTTGAAATGATGAATTAAGCAAGAATTGGAACTCTTGTAATTCTTGATGTTGATTGAATATCAGATTGCCCTAATTATTTTGGGAATGCACCTTTTTAGTGCTCATGGCCTTAAAATACAGTACATTCTATCTGCCCTGTATCGCTGCCCCAATCCCGACATTCATTCTCGAATGCACGATTAGTACGTATACGCTCGTGTCGGGATTTTGAACGAACACAAGAACCACATGTTTGTTCAAGATCGTTGAATGTTTTATCGAGTTTTCAAAGTTGCCTTTCAGCTTGATTTGATAAGCAACCGAGTCCAACTCGAATGAGCTTTAATCGGATTATCGTCCATATTTTATCAAAAAAAATCGTGATTGAGTTGATCACATTGTTCACTATGTTTTAATCAGTTTCTTGAATTTAATTTGATCCAAGACTATATTTTGACCTTATGTGCTTAATCGAGTCTTCTATTAGTAATTCTTAGACCCAATTCGATGCTTACAAATATAGTATTATTTTTTTACATTTACTACTAAATCGACGTTAAAATTAATAGTTGATTTTGGTCATGTAGAGTGGTTACTCTTCACCGACACAAACTGCTATTACGGAAGATCTCAATCTCACAGTCTCGCAGGTTAGTAGTAACAAGTCTATTTTCTCGTCGTAATTTGTATCTCCGTTTCTTGAAAAAAAAATACGTAATAAAAATCAAATGCTTTGGATCAGTTCTCCATATTCGGTTCTTTATCGAACGTAGGAGCTATGGTTGGAGCAATAGCTAGCGGCCAAATTGCCGAGTACATTGGTCGAAAGGGGGTACGACGAATATTTCAATTTTATTTATTTTTTCGTATTTTTACTACTAAAATCATGAGTTTCGTATCTTTTTTCGTTTACTCGCAGTCTCTAATGATCGCTGCTATACCTAATATCATCGGTTGGCTCGCCATATCATTTGCCAAAGTGAGATTGTTTTCCAAATTTTTTTTATCCTTTTAATTGGACTTTTATTTCTTATCGATCTTTTTTTAATTTAATTTTTAAATTAGGACTACTCGTTTCTCTACATGGGAAGGTTGTTGGAAGGATTCGGTGTCGGTATAATCTCTTACACGGTACCAAAAAAAAATGATTTTAGCAATAAAAAAATATCCCGATCGATTTGTATTACATTTTTATGCCGTTTCCTATTTTTTTTTATATATATATATATATAGGTGCCTGTATACATAGCTGAAATAGCACCTCAAAATCTCCGAGGGGCTTTGGGCTCGGTGAACCAGGTTTTTGCTGACTGTACTATTTTATTTTTCGTCCGTATTTTTTTTTTCACTATATAAAATGCCATTTAATTTAATATTTTTTGTTGTGATATAGCTCTCTGTGACAATCGGGATCATGCTAGCGTATTTGCTCGGGCTATTCGTTAATTGGAGAGTGCTTGCTGTTCTAGGTGAATTTTATACAGTTGGTTTCGTAAATTTCTTCGATTTTATTTTTTGTAATTCGCATTAATTTTGTTGTTTCAAAAAGTGACTAATATTCGTAATCTTCGACAGGAATATTACCTTGTCTAATATTGATACCTGGACTTTTTTTCATCCCGGAATCTCCTCGGTGGTTGGTAAGGCGACAAATAAGTTTCTTATACTAATTTTTTATTTAAAAAATAAAAAATAAAATAGATTAACGAACTTACGTATATTACTAAATGCGAATTAGGCTAAAATGGGAATGACCGACGAATTCGAAGCTTCATTGCAAGTTCTTCGTGGATTCGACACTGATATTAGCATTGAAGTTAATGAAATCAAGGTAAATTTTTTCGAATTATTTTCTCGAATAATATATAAGTCATATTATTATCGAATAAAAAAAAATTAAATTGCAGAGATCTGTTGCTTCAACGAGCAAAAGAGCAGCAATTCGTTTTGCAGATCTGAAAATGAGAAGATATTGGCTTCCTCTAATGGTACATATTTTTTTCCGAAGCTGCGTATATTTACACCCGACATTTTTTTATTCCGTTTTTTTTAAAAGAAAAAACAAACATCTTATATACATCACTTTCGCTCGTTTTTTTTTTTATTTTAATTTCAGATAGGAAACGGTTTACTTGTTCTCCAACAGCTATCGGGAACAAACGGAGTCATATTTTACTCAACTACTATATTTGAATCTGCTGGTGGGTGAAGTATATTTTATTTCCGGTTATTTTCGGTTTCAGTTGTTCCGGCTTTTATGTATTGACATCGTATGAACAGGAATTTCGTCGAGCAATGCTGCAACATTTGGTGTCGGTGCTATTCAGGTCGAGCTTCAACAAAATTATATTTTTTTAATTTTTTTTTTAATTCTTGAAAATTAAATAAAATGTTAGGTGTTTGTTTAGGTGATTGCTACTGCAGTTTCGACTTGGTTGGTGGATAAAACCGGGCGCAGAATTCTACTAATTGTAAGTTAAATAACTCATTTTATCAAATAGAATTTACAACTTGCAATTTCAAATATATAAATAATTTTCTAAATAATTTAATATTCGGTATTTGTTTTGTTACAGGTATCATCATCTGGCATGTCTGTCAGCCTCCTACTTGTTGCCGTTTCGTTTTTTGTTAAGGTAGTAAATAAATAATACTCGATTTTTTATTCTCTTAGTCTACATTTTTATTATAATTTTTTTTTTAAAAAATATTATTATATTATTCAAGGGCATGGTAGACGAAGATTCTTCATGGTATGGCATATTGGGAATCTTATCGGTAGTCGGGGTCGTGGTACGTCTTCTTACAAATGCACGAATAAATAATAAACGATTTATTAATTATTAATTTTTTTACGTTTTGTTCGATTGATTTTTTCCTACCGTAGTGCTTGATAATCTCGTTTTCACTCGGAATGGGGCCTATTCCATGGCTTATAATGTCGGAGGTAAGTCCAATATTCCGATTTTTCTGTATGCTATCGAAAAATATATACATCAATTTTGCGATTTAAGTAAATACTACGTTTTGCTCGTTCGATTTTAGATTCTTCCACCGAAAATAAAAGGCCTAGCAGGAAGTGGCGCGACTTTGGCAAATTGGTTTTGCTCGTGGGTTATCACCATGACCGCACCGTTACTACTAGCTTGGAGCAGTGGAGGTTTGTAAATTCCGTTTCCGTCATACGTTTATTATGTTTGTACATTCCCATTTTTTATTTATTTTTTATTTAATAAAATGCAATAGTATCTTTTAAAAGTGAACTAATTGGGGTTCTCTCTCTTTTTTTTTTTTTTTTTAAATTGACAGGAACTTTCACACTTTACACTGTGATGTGTGTTTTAACAGTGGCATTTGTGGGAATTTGGGTCCCAGAAACCAAAGGTAAAACTTTAGAGGAAATCCAGCAATCCTTCAGATGAGACTTTCTTCCATTTTTAGTATATATATTTATATATTCTGTAATTCTATTAAAAAGAAACATATTATTTTCTGTCTATATGGTTTGATTATTCAATTTGTTTCCATTCAAGAATAAAATCTACCCAATTATGTATTTATATTCATATGTATTTGTACTTTTGAATTTAGTAAAAGAAATATGCATACATGTCTATTTTATTTTATTTTATTTTGGTGTGTGTTAAAGAATAAAGATCCAACATTTTTAGCATGAAGAGATGAGTGCTCCCATAATTCCACATTATGTGTCGTTTTACATCTTTGGACAAGTATTAAGAATCTCAATAATCGTGCCTTAATTTTAGAAAAAATACTATACATTTTCTTTTTACTAAAACACCCTTACCTATTAATTATCACCCACTAATCAATCCGTTGGTACAAGGGGATAATTGAAAATCCAAATGAATGTAGTATGGTCTAAAGTGATAAATAAAATGGAACAAAAGTAATTTTTCGATTAGTAGAACCATAGAGAACTATTGGGTATCATGTACAAACTGAAGAATATTCAACATAATCTAAAAGATTTCACTAAATTTGACACCACGAGACTGGACGTGCAAGAAAATTCATAATTGAGAGTGGTTGTAAATTGTAATTATCCAAACATGGGGTTATTTTCGTAATTTGACCTTACGTCAAAGGGTTGACCGTAATATACCCAAAGAAAAAGAGCAAGATAAAGTATAGTTGTCAAATCCAGGGCCAGCAGAGCAGGCAAAACAATTACTTGTATAGAACTTCCACATGCTAATATTCAAAGACAACCCACATCCAGTGCCGGGGTCGGCGTTTTGGGGGGCCGGCCACCATTTTCAACTCTAATACCCACCCCCCTCAACCATACAAATAAATATTATAAAAAAAAATTAAATTAAATAAAATTGCCAGCTACAATGTTGTCTCCGGTGAAAGAAAACAAGAACAAGACATCATCTGAATCTTGAAACATATTCTAATAGAGAAACACAAATAGTTAAACATATCTTCGTTTTAATGTCTCGTTTATAGACGAACGAAACCGAGTTCTTGAATAATTATCCATGTTTTCGTCTTTAACCGAAAACATGGATAACTTATAAGTTATAACTAATCCTAATCTAAATCTTACGACTTTCTAAACCGGATTTCATCGAAAAGACGAAGAATTAAGACCAAGGGCATGGTATATATCACCTCAAATATCAATAAAAAGAGATAACAGAGTACAATATGAACTGAAAAAAAAAAACCCCAAGTGCACAAAGATGGCAAGAAAAAAAAAAAACACTATGTGGGAAGAAGTACAAATCAAATGAATGATGATGATAATAATAATAATAAGTTCGATTTGCTAACTAAGAGACTAGTTTCACAGGGTACCTGTCGATGCAATCTTCCCACGGCCCGTTTCCGGACGGTTTCACGCACCTAAGCGCCTCCCAAACCGCGCTGTTACACTTAAAACCGCTCCCGAACGCAATCTGCCATACCTTATTCCCCCTTTTCATTCTCCCCTTCGCCTCGATGTACGCCAGCTCGTACCAAATCGAGCTCGAAGAAGTGTTTCCGAATCGATGCAGGGCCATTCTAGAAGCTTCCACGTGTACCGGAAGCAGCTGCAGATTCTTCTCCAGCTCGTCAATCACCGCCCTCCCACCTGCGTGTATGCAGAAATGATCGAATGCTAGTTTAAAATCCGGTATGTAAGGCTTCACGTTCTTCTTCTTGAACAACTTCTTGATCACCAATGTGGCGAAGAACAACAGCTGCTCGCTGATCGGAAGAACTAACGGGCCGAGTGTGGTGATGTTCGTCTTGAGGGCCCCACCTGCTATAGCCATTAGATCTTTAGAGAGAGAGACTCCGGTTTTTCCGACACTGTCCTGCTCTTGATAGACGCAGCGGAACGCCTTGTCGTCGGCCCCTTTGTGAGTTCGCACTACATGAACGAGCTTGTATTTAGCCCTCCGTTTATCGGCCGATTTATTCGACAGCAGAATGGCGGCACCGCCGACTCTGAACAAGCAATTAGGTATCAACATTGATTTTTTGTTTCCGAAGTACCAATTTTGGGTGATGTTCTCCATACTGACTACAACGGCGTATGTGTTCCGGTGGACCTGGAGCATGTCTTTGGCCAAATCGACGGCGATTACTCCGGCGCTGCACCCCATTCCGCCCAAATTGAAGCTCCGGATATTTCCCCTCAATTTGTACCTGTTGACAATCATGGCGGAGAGCGAAGGGGTAGGGTTGAACAAGCTGCAGTTGACGACTAGGATGCCGATTTGCTTCGGCTTGACATTCGTGTTGAGGAACAAATTGTCCAGCGCGCCAAACATCACCTGCTCCGCCTCCTCACGCGCCGCCTGCATCGACGGCCGCGGCGGGATGAAGTGCATGGCCTCCGGCACATAGGTCTCGTCGCCGAGGCCGGAGCGCTCGAGAATCTTCCTCTGGAATTCGAGCGACGATTCGTCGAAATCGCCGGTCAATCGCGAGTGGTTCATGAACCGGTCGTACGGCGCCTTCAGGCTGTCCGGAGCGCGGTAGCAGGAGTAGTCGACGAGGTAAACGGGTTTGGGCCGGGTCATGATGTAGACGGTGGATCCGAACACGAGAAACGCGGAGCAGATTATAACGGAGACGAGATTGTATTGGAGGTGGAGCCACAGGTTGCGGAGGTCGTCGGGGTTCATCTGAGAAGCCTCCACGATAATCACCACCATAATTGGGACTAAGCACAGTGTCAACAAATTAGAGATCAAGTAATGGTAGCCGAGTTTCACGTACTTCAAGTTCACGCTCTGGAGGAAGTCCGGCAGCCGCCGGCTCTGGTGGATCCGTACTCCGACGGTGGCGGTGGCGGCGGCGCCGCCGCCGTCCCCTCCTCCTCCTCCGTCCATGGCTGCTGAGTCTTATCCGAGAATTGGCCGGACGAGATGCGGTTAGTTCGAGAATCGGAGGAAATCGAGAGGCGGCGGAGGAGGCGGAGGAGAGGCGGAGGAGGAGGAGTTAAGAGCGGCTTTTGAATAGTGACAAGGGGGAAATTGACTTTTGTAGGGGGTGAGATAATGGTGGTGATTGCAATTTGCAGCTGTTCATGGGCGTATTATTATTTTTTATTTTTTTCTCTCTCTCTCTCTACTGTGTTCACTTTCTCACTCTAAAACTTGAAAAAAACAAATACTGAAAATAATCATCTCGCAATCACAATTCTACAGATAGATTTACGCCCACCGAACGCAATTGAAAAATTCCCACTCAAATTATATAGCAAAAATAAAAATAAAAATGAATCCCCTTCTTTACTGAATACGTACGGTTAACTAAATATAATAATGGATAACCTTTGTTGATTTTTTATTTTTATTTTTTTGGAGTAGTGATGAAATTGATGATTTAGAAAATAGTATAATTTAATTACGTTTGGATTCAGGAATTTGTTCTGATTGGGTGTTAGAAATTTGAAATATGTTAATGGAATAAATATATCTCAACAATCTGAATGAATTTATGAATTTGGATTTGATACATTAACTACAAATCCTCTTATTCAAATTGCAATCTGAAAATATGTTCAAAAATCAAAATATTAGTTATTCAATTTATCGATAGTAAGAAGCTCAATTACGTAAAAACTCTTTAATATTAGGGGTCTTAAGATATAAGTCAACTGGTGACAAACCTTATTAGAACTAAATGACAAGTCTAACTAAAATTTGCTTCACATTCTTTATAAAATTCATTCCAAAAATGATCCTCCACTCACAAATTCGAAATTACACCAAATTGTAAATATATTATGATGAACTATGGTATTATTTACCATTTTTAAGTTTGCATCTAGCATTTTTTTTTTTTTTTACGTGAAACACGTTTTTTTTTCTTTTTCCGTATTTTATCATTATATAAAAATCTATTTTTTTCTCATTCTTTTCTACATAAAGTAAAAATTATGATTTTTTTTAATTTTTTCGGTCGTAGACATCTTCAAAAACCCATAGGAAACCGTAGTAATCCGTAGTCACCCTAAGACATCTTGAAACCCAAAGACATCTTGAAACCGTAACTCCTCCTACAAACCCTAGCCGCCAGACCCATAGACACCCATAGACATTCAAATCGATTTTTTTAAAATTTTCTCACCAAACCCTACATCCGCTCCTCCATCCACCACCATCCACCACCACTACCATCACCGAGCGCCATCATCCATACCCAATACCGTCGCCGCGCCTTCCACCATAGATCTGACCTTGAACCACCATAGCCGCCGTCTCCTTGCCTCTACAACCATCCGCTTATTGCCGCCGTCTCCACCGCCATAACCACCGCCCCCTCAATAGTGGATTGAAGTGGTGGAGAACGAAAGAGACAGAGAGAGATAGTGATATCGAAAAATAGAGAGATAAAGATTGTGAGAGAGAGTGAGAGAAATAGACGAGACAGAGAGAGCGAGATTGAGAGACAAAAGAAAAAAGAAAAATAAATCTGAGAGAAACGTGACTTTAGAATTTATGTATTTAGGTTAAGGATAAATTATGAATAAAAGAAAAATTGAGGATGTGACTCATATTTATTTTTCTAAAAAGGATTTAGTTCATAAAAAAATATTAAGGTTGTATTTCACATCTAATTATGTTTCCAACTAGGGACCTCTAACATATTACCCCTTAATATTAAACTTTTTAATCACTCATGTGTTCAAATTTTGTGGGACTATCCAACGAGTCTTGGACACAGAAATGCGGACACGACGAAACAAGGAAATGACATGGGGAGACTCCATTTTTCAAAATGTTGGATAAAATTTTAAAAATATAAGGGTACATTAATACTTATAATCTACTTTTAAAAAATTTATAATATTGTTTAACTTATATACATCGTCAATTACATATTTGTTTATGCAATTACAAGTTTTTTTTAGAAATAGAAATAGAACTAAGATTTAAGATTTTTTTTAAGTACATGCAATTCCGAGTTTTTAATTAAAATAGGTTTTTGATTTTTTTTTTTGTGGAAATGCGTTTCCATGTTTTTATTATTATTAGAAACATTCCCGAAATTTTTAAGTATTTATAGAAATGGCTCTAAAACGTTTCCGACATGTATAATGGCTTTATGGTTTCCAAAACGTAGAAACGCGTGTGGGTAGAAGTTTCCGTGCATTATAGACGAGCCCAGCAAATTCAAACCTACAGTATTTCAGTTCGTAATTTATGACATGATGCTCATGATATAGGGATTACATCTTTTTTTACTTTTCTTTTTTCTAATTATGAGAGATTAGGTGTTAATTAAAGAGTTTAACTGAATTTTCAGCAACTTAACTATCATCTTAAGATTAGAATATATTTATCTGTCTGGACAAGTACTACAATTAATCATATGGTTATAATTATTAATTTCTGATAAGTCTTGTCAAAATTAAATGTGTCCAATATGAACATTTATTTCAAAAATAGAACTAGAAGCACATTAATAATATGCCTTTTTTAGTATCAAATTGTCACTAAAAAAGAATATAACTTTGAAAGTGAATGAGTCTGGTCACCAATGGCCTAGCAGTTTGATGGTCTAGCAGTTTGAGTAAGTGAATCTGTAATAATTTGTCGAGATTCGAATCCAAAGCTGACAGTCGCTAGATGTAGCTTGTCACACATTGTTAGCCTATTATAGTTTACGTCTTTCGTATGTTTTGTAAGCTATTATACGAGAGTGTAAGTTTACTCCTTGTACCCATGTAATTGGTTGCATGTTCCTTCGTTACTAGAAACAAAAATTGGAAAAATAAATTATGAAGATATTTAAAAAGAAAATAAACCGACACCTGACCTAACACACATTTATAGGGAAAAAAAAAATTAGGGTAAATTACGGCCACCCCTGAGGTAAAGTAAATTATAAAAAAAAACTTTCATGTTTGGGTAATTAAAATCACTCATCAACTATGAATCCTCTTACACATTCATCCTTGCGATGTCAAATTTAGTGAAATCTTCTAGATTATATGGAATATCTTCCAGTTTGTACCCGTTTACCCCATTCGAGCTTCATATTTTGAAACAAGATAATCATAAGACGTGGCTTGTAAATTATCAGATTGTGGTGCATCAGAAACTGCATTTTTACACAAAATGAGTAGAATTTGACACTATAAGGGTGAACGTGTAAAATGATCTATAGTTGAGGGAAGTGTTTGTAATTATCCAAAATATAGGGGAATTTTCGTAATTTAACCTTATCTCAGGAGTGGCCGTAATTTACACAAAAAAATATTTTAATTTGTTTTGATATTCGACAAGAAATCACAAGCAAGGGATCGTGCGTGATAATCAATTTCAATTGTGCTGATAAAGACAATTTTGCCCATGTTACTTTGTGCCCACAAATACTGAAATTCGTGTACAGTTACATTTACCAGAAAATTTAAACTGAAATTTGGAACTTACTTTCCCAATGTGAAAATTGAAAAACATGTGTTTGTTTTTTTCTTTTTCCTTCTTTTTTTTTTCTTATGAATAATGTGTTTGTTTTATTTACATCTTAAAAGTTAAAACTCTTCTTAAATTTACTCCTTTCAAACAATTAAAACCAAATTTTGTAATGAATTTCGATATAATTCGACTGTCATGATTAAACGAAAAAAAGACGTATCCTACTTTATTTCGAATTCTTCTAACTAAAAATTAAATTTGATTTTCTTTATAATTAATTAAAGTTTCAATATTTTTTTTATTTTTTTGATATAATTTTTATCGATTACATTTATATTTTTATAGAACGTTGGAGTGGTAAGTGGTACTATACATAATTTATTTATTTTTTTCCTTTCAAAGGTACAATTAATTTAATTAGAGCATATATCTTAGTGTAACGATACTTAAATTATTATTAATTAATTAAAATCATATAGTACATCGTAAAATGCAATATCGTACTAGTTCACAACTCTAAGTCTTGAACTCATCAATTTCATGCAATATAGTAGAATGCATAAATATTTTATTTCTTGATTCCTCATAGAAATTGAGGTCCAGTACAAATTATTCAAAATTTGGTTCGGATTTTGAAATCAATTCACTTAAACGGCTTAATTAATCTGCGAGCTTCGATTTTTCGCAACCAAATGCCCCAGAAAGATTGAAAACCAGAAAGGAAAACGAGAAGAGATCCTAACTTATAACTTTTAAAATGTTAGTACTTTTTTGACAAGTTTGGTTTATATAAGTTATAATATTATTGTTGAGTGCGTAAAATACACGTATTTTGCTTGAAAATTTATTCGAAACGAGTATGTTTTGGTGTTTTGATGTGTGTGTTTTATAATTATGCAGGTACAAGACGTGGATTTGTGGTCTCAAATCGAAAAAAAATATCATTTCGAGTGTAACGGGCAAGAAATTGCTTAGCCATCCGATACCTTGGTATGAAGAAGTGCTGAGAATTGTACCCTTTGTTTAAAAGTAGGCTATCGGAATTTTACTACTTGCATGTAAATTTTTGACGAACCATATTTAATATTATACACTTTTTCTGATGCGTGATATATTTTAAATATGGGCAAATTACGGCCACCCGCTTAGGTATGATTAAAATTACGAAAAAAACCTCTCTTGTTTGTAATTACAGCCATCCCCTCCTTTTAAATATTTTTACATAAATTTTATGTAATTTGGTTATTTATCGAACTAAATCGTATATTCAGTTCGGTAAACTGTATGAAATGTTGGCGTACCAAAATTTCGATTCAACATTTTTTACCGATTGAACATCCCTAAATTTACCTCTGGAGGAGTATTTTTGTAAGATAATACATAGTAGAAGGGATGACTGTAATTACCCAACCAGGATGAGTATTTTCGTAATTCGACCATAACTCAGGGGTTGACCGTAGTTTGCCCTTTAAATATTATAAAACATCTCATACTTTTTTTTGGGTGAAATATTAGTGTTTTATAAACATTTTTGGGCCAAATAGGGGGCCCAACCCAGATAAACATTTTTGGGTTTCATAAGATTTTGTAGGCTCGTGGGCTTGACCGTACTTCATTCTTTTAAATTAAATGGATAAGCATTTTTCATTCAAAGAATTTATCACTTTCTAAAACTCTCAAACCCACCCAAAGCCCTATAAGTCACAATCATGCCCAAGCTAGGGTTCCTTCGACCCTACACCCGGTGATAAATATCGGATGGGTCTTCTGCTGCCACGTGTTCCTTGTTTT